CTGTTATATATATATATATATACATATATATCTCCCGTATTTTTATGCAAAATCCCAGGATCAGTATAGTATATCAATGCACCAACTAGATATATTTTTTTAAAATTCAAATTACGTCACAGTCAGTCCAGACTCAGAACCTGAACGTGAAACTCCGAGTCGTGCTATAGGTGAGGGATAATATGCATATTTATTAACATATACTTAATAGCTCTGTTGTATTTCATCGAGAAATATTTTATTAACACCAGCACTATATATATATATATATATATATTGTATTTAGGCAGCAATCATTCTTTTATACATGATTCGTTAAAGACGACTAACAAGCTACTACGATTAAGCTTTTTATTTATTTTTTATTTTTTGTACAATTGTTTTCTTTTCTGAACACAATATGTTAAACCTGTCCAAATGTTCTGCATTTGCGAGCGCTTTCGGCTATACATTTAGTCATTGTCAAGCATGATTTCCTTTTTACTTTTTAACTGAATGGATGGTTTATTTTTCAAACACAGCTCGTTGTGGTCGTGTTCGTAGTTAATGTTTTTGAGTGTTGACTTTCTTTTTTATTATTAGGTTTTCAATTATTTTTAATCTTTTCTTTTACATTTAGATGAAGTTATTATGCTTGTATTTTCTACTAGTATGTTCCCGAGAGTCATTCAGAATTGTGTGTGTATTTTATTGAGTTCCAATGAAGCTGTGGTCATATAGGTGCAAGGTAAGACGTCTGGATAGGTATGTAGTAGTGTGACCGATGTAATTATTTATGAGTTTTGTTTGATAAGGGACACAGTTCCTTAAGAGGAATTAGGACTCGTAAATAATGTTTTCATTTTGCAGGTATGTTGAATATAAGTTTAGTTGCTTTAAATTTTGTGTAATATTTATGTTATTGTTTTTGTGTTCAGTATCGTTATTATTTACTTTGGAAAGAAATATTCTAACTTGGTGTTCGATGAGATAGTTGGGAAAACCATCGTTAACTAATGTCTCTTTTGCATTGTTGAGTTCTTTAAAGAAAAGTAGACGAGACGTTGAATTCTCGTGTGCTCTTTTTAGAAAATTTCTTATCACTGCTATTTTGTATATTAAGTGTGATTTCATTCTTAAAGATAAGGTGGCAAGAGTTTCTGCTAGTGAGATATTTATAAAATGACGTGGTGAAAGTTAATTTATTCTACGAGAACGTCTAAGAATGGGATTTTTTTTTACTTTGTTCATAGGTAAAGTTAAGGAGAGTTTTTTCAAATGGGTTTTTGATATCTTTTCTTGTATGTTTTTTCGCTAAAATAAAGATGTCCTCTACTTTAGTGACCTGTTTCATTATCAGATTATCTACGTGGGACTTGTATAATAGGAGAAGCATGGGTTGAGCGGGTTTTAACATACTGACAAAGTTTGGATGTAGAAGTTGCTAGTACGGTCGTAGACGTGGACTTTCAATGTGCATGCATGCAATAGATTTTTGAGGATATTTGTTTTGATCATCAGCAATGTTTGTGAATACATTTTCAACGTCGTGTGACGCTTATTAATACCTAGGGTTGATTTTATACTTTTTAAAATTTGACTGTGATACTGTAATTGATTGGTAGGTAAGAGGTAACGATGTCATTAAGAAATTTTGATAGCTCGTAAATAGAGTTTGGGATACCCACTATGATCAATCATTTCCCCCCATCTCAACTCCTACCTACGAGCTATCAAAATTTCTGAATGACTTATTTATCCCGTGGCCATCCACCAATTACAGCATAAAGATGCTTCAGTGGTTATACAAAAGTTGGGATACTCTAGAAAAATTGGCAAGCCGAGTTTGGGATATTCAATATTACAAGATGAAAAGGGATTTATCACAAATCGTAAATAAGACAAAGAGGCACTTAACACTGAATAAGTATGGAGAGCTAAAGACAATTTTACACCATGCCACCAAATATCTATTTAGTTAGAGGAGGGGAACATATTCATGGGATACTTCGGGGAAATTGTTTTAGTAAAAGCATGGCTGAAGGTACCTAGATGACATCATTATATTCTGCCCTCGGCAAGAAACTGTACATTTACTGCTGGGTCTCATGTGTACACTTTAATACTTTCAATTCAGTTCAAAATGTAAGAAAATAATCAGCTGACTTACCTGGATGTACAGAGAATGTTTTCAAAACTTCCTTATACCTCAAGCCAAGGTTCACCGGAGATATTTCAACTTCAATACCCACTATCAATTCAGTGGGAAGGAAGCTATCATTCAATACTTACAATACTTTGCAAAGATTCTAAATGATGACCCATACACATACCATGAGAAAAATAATCAGCATCAAGCGTACCCTTCAGAATAGAAACAGTTCTACATATATAATATCGGTATCTACAGGTCGAAAGAGAAGAGACAAGAAGGAAGACAAGAAAATTTACACGGTTAGTCTACCGTATGTCATGAAGGTATCGGAAAATATTCAAATTTTCTGTGATTCATACAACATCAAATTAATATTTAGAAACAGATCGCCTCTACGGAAAAAATCAGTGCTTACACGACCAAGTACTGTATTTACTTTCTGGCAAAGAATATAAAAGTGGCCCATAAAAGCAAAGATGGAGAAAAATTGGAAAGCCGAAGTGAGGGGAGGGACAATGAAATCATGCATGGCTGATCATTTATGGAGGGAAAAGGGTCGTCATCAATCTATGTGGAAAGAAGTGAAAATACTGTACTAGGAATAACACTGCAGGGTTAGACGTCTGCAAGAATCTGTGCATATGCTAGGCTATGAAAACTTCCTTGGTAGACATAGCATAGATATAAATAGGATATACAATCCGCTAATAAGGACAGAAAGGCAAATACCAGCTGGTCTTCACCACAGCAGCTGTAAGAAAATAGAAAAGGCTTCAGTGAGTAGTCAAGCCTGACAACACACAGAACTTATTAGAAGGTTAGGACGTCAGGTTCTTTACACAAAATTGTCACACGGCTTAGTGGGTTAAAATATTGGTTCATTAATTTTCTAACATAATAATAGCGAGTTCAATCCCAGAGCCTAGCAGTGTGTACTCGAATTCGATGAAAACAGAGCAAGTACAAATATATGCACTTACTTAGCACAAGAAGTGATATCCATCAATATGAAAAACGGGGTGGGAATAATCTATTCACTTAGATTAAATTTCCAAAATCACTCTAGGTTACCTGGAACAAAATACACCTGGTGAAGATCGGAGAGCACAACGGCTGAAATATTGTGATAACAATAACAAAAATGAGTACAATATTTAAATAATGTAAATTTGGATAAGCACTCATCGCAGATTCTTCAGACAGAAGATATACTTTCTGGTTTGTATTTTTATTAATCATATAAATAATCTGAGGGAGCATACACCCGTGTGTAAATTAATTGAAACAACCACATTAATTTCCATTCATTCACCATACGATCGGGTTTTGACCCACTGGAGTGACAGGGTGTAATCAGCATCTATTTTTCTCCAGATTTGGTCATTTACAATGGTGTGCAGACTATGAATATATTTTTGAGGTGTATGCTGAAATTTGTTTGGCCTTGAAAATATTACATCATCCGTGATCGCTTCAAATTTCTATCAAGCCCAGATACTATTGTCTCGACTAACAAATATCTATCTTAAAGCCATTATCTGCGAAGCGTACGAAAATTGTAAAGATGCACGAACACACTGGAAGCCTTACCAGTGAGCAAATAAAAGTACTATTGACTGGCACGGAAACTCTCCTGATTAAAATACAATCGAGAATCTGTGGCTAATCTGCAAGGAACGACTTCGTAAAAAAGGCATACGAAGTAGTGACATGTGCACTGGGTTATGTTTTCTTGGAAAAATACGAACAAAAAAAGTAAATAATAACGGAATTATTCGTTTTGTTTCAACTAATTTGCATAAGGGTTTAGAAAATAATTAATACAAAAAACTATTCTGTTTTTTAAGTTTGACATACTTAAAAAAAAAGAATAGTTTTTTATTATTATTATAATTATTTTCTACACCGTTGTGCAAATACGGCTGAAAATATTGTAGATTATAAACTTGAAGCCCAAAGGAATTAAGAACAACATGGCAATTAACAGATGTCTTTGAACCGTGAAAATTACATTAATTACCATTTTCAGTTTTGGTTTCCATGAGCCTACGTGGAATCCACGCAAATGTCTCTTCATAAAAATATTTGTTAAACTGAAAATGATAAAGCTATTTTTCGGATAAAGTACAACATTCTAAAACATAAGAGATATTTGGGTGGAAACAAGACAAAGTATTTCAGCTGAGATTTTAATGATATCTCTTTCCCTCTCTTCCTTTGACTTTCCTTTTTCTTCCATCTCTTTTCTGCCAACTCACCCTTATATCCGATCTGTGTAATTGTGATTATATCGGCCCCTGTTATTGTTTACTCTTTATCACAGAATTATCAAGCGTTACTTGATTCCACCACACAGTTTTGTGCCACTGAGGATTAAGAATGAGATAAAGACACGTAAAAACATCATGCACTTGATTTTCCTTCGTGCTTTGCCTAAAGATAACGAAAAGAAGTTCAGTGTCTACTAATAAGTACTGAAGAAAAGTAATTATACCAATGAATAAAGAATAGTCTGCAGTTACAGATAGCGTGTAAGTAAATGTTGGAGAGCCGTTTCAAATAGTTTCAAGGAACACAAGAGAATAGTAATTGATTGACTGATTTGTTTTTTTTTAAGGTTTATCAACCCTTTGCAGGTTATTTTAAGCCAGAAAATATTTTTTATATTGTAAGAATATTTTTTAGATAAAAATGGATTCGTTGATACTAAATAATTAATTATGAGGGGGGGACAGGGGGTATTCATACTTTTCCTAAAGGTATTTCCGCATAAGTGAATATACCAAACTCAACGAGATTTGAATCTCGGCTCTATGATTAACAATTCCGAGCCATTATCCATTACACACCACCTGCACATCCAATATTACAGCACCTGGTATTCCCAAATGGTCACCCATGTAGATACTGACCTGGATTGACGTTGCTTAACTTCGGTAATCAAATAGCAACTGGTGTTTCAACGTGATATGAGCCTTGAATAGTAATGGAGGAGCATTGTTAAATCGTTATTTAGAATTGATATCAATTATAATCAATATTTTCTACGTTATCTGCAGTAACTTTTGATTCTTTTACTGCGAGAGTTAATATCAAATATCCAGAAACGTATCACTGTCTAGAAAAGAACAAAAAACATACGTTGAATATTCGAAGCGTGTATTTTAGATCACGCCTCGATTCATGAAAGATCATATATTGTTTTAGGTGTGGCTGTTCAGTCTGACTTAAAACATAATTTGGTTGGGTGTGGTTATTCAATCTGGCTTAAGGATTCCAGTAAGTATTTAATATTGAAATCATTTTTAACATCGATATTAAAAGTAAATTTTAACAGGTGGCATGACCAAAGACGGATATGCTACGGTTGGCATTACTTCCACCCAAGGGAAGAGGTAAGAAATTTCGGAGTCAAAATTAAATAAATCGCTCTCTTAATTATGTCTGATTTTTCTTCGCCCGGTTGAAATTTGTTGGTCCATATTGCAACGTGTAAATCATATTTGTTTCTCATCCGTGTTTTCTCCAGTTTGCTATCTACACATAGCAACAGAATAAATACAAATTATTACAATGCAGTTTTATTTTAAATACTTTCCTTCAAGCTTTTTTTTGTCAATAGGAATACATTGGTTTGCCTATCGCCCGTTTCACACACCTTCGCTGACTTCTGAACAGAAGTAGAGGGTTATCCTTCGTTTCTTGTTTGGTTTTCTGGTTACTTCTAAAGTCTTTTACTTCTCATGGTCCCTTTGCATCTTGGTGGCATTATCACCTTACTTGAGGTGGTGCCTATACACTGTTAACCTCTAACTCGAGTGGCTCTTGGACCTTTTACAAGGTGAATATCATTGTAAAAGAAATCTTCTTACCTTTGAATTTAGGAGATGCTTGAGATATTATATGCTTCTTCTCATACAATAAATAGATAAAGACATTATAATCAAATAAACAAAACATGTTTATTTGTTAGGACATTTTTTTAAGTTTATACTTTCTTTTTATAGATACACATATTTAAGTAAAAGAACGTATAAACATAAAAAAATGTCTTAAAAATAATTGTCGGACTTTGTCCATTTCATAATGTTTATTTGTAACAGTTATTAAGTATCATGGTGTCACCTTTCATTATATAGAAGAATAGTTAATTATTGCACACTAGCTCTCAAGTCGCTTATGTTTCACTTTACCTGATGAGGGGTCAGTCTTTCATGTCTCATTTTACCTGATGAGGGGTCAGTCTTGACCGATATCCACCGTTATTCTTTTTCCATTTTTACAAACAGTAGAGGCTTGACGTTCAGGTGACATCAGTTGCGCATCTCCTCTCTGGCCAGTCTAAGAGTTAACTCCACTGGATCTCACCCACTTCACGCCATTATCTCTAATGATTTTATTACGTACTCTTATGATTATTGTTTGGATTGGCAGTGAAGTTGTAAAAGGAATATTGTTCTACAGAATAATGCTAAGAATATCAGGAACGGTTTGTGTAAAAAACGATGCCGTCCTTTGGGAACAAAAATTGTGGAAACTCAGAAAAAGAAACAGAGCATATCTGAATATATCGAATGTAGAAGGTACATGGGGAGCAATGGACTGCTGATCTGACGATCCTATGTGAATGGATGAGGATTTGGAGGGATGGTAAAACGACAAAGATTACTAGCAGCTGCATAAGATAGGAGTTTGGGAATAGCCATTATCTCCTACGTTTCTGAAGGAACTCAGCGCATAGTAGTAGTAGTAGATATAGAATAAATAGAAGAAAGGGAAGAAGAAAAAAAAGAAGAAATAGAAAAAGTTTTCCATTTTCTTAGTCATATTCTTAGTATCTTATCTCCTTTCACCTAAAACTTTCGCTGCAATGTTTCAAAAGAATTTGTATAATATATTTGCTAAATGCGGTTGAAATATTTTTACAATCGATGTTTGTTTTGCTTCCATTCAAAAAGAACTTTGCCAGATTATAAACTGGGCAATATTCGCAAACCTACCACTTTTACTTTTTGAATCATTTTAATCCGTATTAGCGTAGTTTTAAAAAAATAAGTCAGACTTCGAAAGTATCAAAACTCAAAATTGATTAGGCCACTCTGCTTGCAAAAATGGTTTTAAGACGTAAATGAAATCTATGGAAAAAAGGAGGACGATTTTTAATTTAATTTTTAAAGAAAAAGGACAATCCACTGAATATTACTCAAATATTTATATATGTCTCTATATCTGACATGAGGTATTGTAATTATTGTTCGAACTGTTATCTTCAACTTCGTTGCCATATCCACGTAGTTTTGGCCATTGTACTCTCCGGGATTTTTCAGGTAACTGAAGTTTCGAACCGAACCTTTTATTCCGTCCACCGGGGTAAATTGTTCTAGTTCCACGTGCTTCTACGCTTCTGGATGTCTCAGTTATCTCCCTTTAACTCAACTCTCCAAATGTTTGTTCACCGCTGCTGGAGGCAGGTATCGAACTCACTTTATCCACTGTGCTATGTGTCCTGGAGAACAAATATTTCTGATTTACAAGAATTATTGTGACATAGAGCTAGAAAGAACTAAAATAAAGTTATATTTGAAAGCCTTAGCATTATGACATTTTGACTTTCTTTCCTTTAGTTAAAGCAGCTTATTAAAAGACATCGTGTAGCAGGAAAGATGGGATTCTGTAGCACAGACACTGGAAAAACTTTCGCAAAGGAATTCAGGTTTAGTACGTACCAACGTGAATTACGCTGAACACATTCTGCCGACTCAACAAAATCGCCTTTTCTTTTTATACTTTCTTCCTGAGCCAGAGAATTTTTATATTGGACACGCTGCCAGCCTCGATTCGACTCACTGACTCATACGCCTCGTCATTCCAGCGCCGATGCTAAGACGGTCTGCCTCGCTAGCAATTAGCTCGCACATATAGGCTACGCTACTCTAGCCCTCTTGGACCTACGAGGTAATTCCCCCCCCCCCAAAAAAAAATAACTACAAAGAGAATTTTGTAGCGCTGAATCTTCAAAAGTAGTTTCTAAATCTATCAACCCAGTTTAAGAGTAAGGTCTGCTGGGATTTAGCTTAATATATATTTTCTCATTTTACGATCTGAATAAAAACAACATTGATCTAGCTAACGTATCTGTCTCACACATTTGAAATCAGTAAGAGTATTACGTTAGTTAAATTAAGTTGTTTGAATTAATTAACTACTAATAATGCTACTGCTACTTCTCCTAATACTACTATTACTACAACTACTACACTAGGTAATAAACAAAGAAAATAGCGTGTAGAATACAAAGATGATGATGATGATAGATATGTGACACTTGATGTGAATTTACTGAGACGGAATTCTTTCCAAATCAATATATGTGAAGACCATGTCAAGCGTGATCTCAGGATACGGGATTTGTTTTTAAATCTGATCAGCAGGTACAATTTATTTTCGACTCAATGCTTATTTTTAACTCAAGGAAAAGTTATAATATAAAATCAAGTTCAATATTTCTGCTTACACATGCGCACTTCGACCACAAGCCTTATTTGGGCCTAGAAGTAAAGAAACATACGTTTGAAAATGTGGGAAGTTGTTCTGAAATTTTACTATATATACATATATATGGTGTATGAAAAATACTTTTATACATATTGGGGCGTGTTCCTCACAATAAACAAAGATAAATATTTATATCAGTGTATATCCGCAAATCCTTCGTTTTAGAGTTACGTTTAAAGAAAGTTTGTGGTAAATGGCACTGTTTTGCCATGTAGACTAATTTACATTTCTCATTCGTGTACATTTGTAGCTAGACTGTCTTTAACGTTCAACTTGTGTAGTAGTGAGTTAACTGAGAAGTGTTAAGTTTAACAATCACAGAATATGATTTTTACATACGGTCGCGCGAATAGTAATGTGCGACAGATTCCATGGTACCAGATAATATGGTAATAAGTATTTCTGGATTGTAAATTTAACAACACCTACCGTAAACTTTAAACTTAATTCAAAAAACAATGTATTTGGGGACATATGGTTATGATGATATATATATATATATATATATATATATATATATATATATATATATATATATATATGCAGTAATATAGTCTTAAGATGTGCTATATTTATGGGATGATTTATGCTCAATATCAGAGATAGAGCGTGTGTAAATATAAAAGTGAACATAGAAGTCAACACTTAGAGACGACTGTCTGTTTCATGCTAGATGCATTCGTCAGGCCACGAGTGCTGTTATTTTTCTCGGCTATTTATATATACGGATCAGTGGTGCATTGTGTGTAGTCCATTTTGGCGGCTATTTTACCGGAAGTCGTTTATTTGTTTATTTATTTATTTGGGTTAAATTAATTTGCTTGTTTTTATTTATATATTTATTTATTTATTTATTTTATTTCTTATCTTATATATTTATTTATTTTTATTCTTATTTTAATTGGTGTTTTTATTAACGTGGTAAAAAATTGTTTATATCGCTTATTTAATAGATCTGTTTTGTTTTGTGCAGATAATTAAAGCTATTTATTCAATTTCAGGGTTGATTGTTGTAGTTTATTCGGACTATTATTTTGGCGGGAACAGTTTTTAATTTATTTATTACTTCATGTATTTATTTGGATTGATTATCTTTATTTGTTTTTTTAACGGTGAGTTTAAATTATTAAATAAAAGATCCGAGCTCATCTCAAAATGCAGACATGAAAACAAATTATTACTACGTTACTTAAAAATCAAAAACGGAAAAAATAAAATAAAAATAAATAAATAAACAGAATGACAAGAAAATAAGCAAAATAAATTAACCCAAACAAATTACCAAATCACACCTGTTAGGATAGACAAAATAGAATAAAAAATATGAAAAAAAATCAATGAACCCAAATAAATAAAGTAAATAATAAACAAATTAGAAAACCATTATGACCAAAATATTAGTTAGACTATAAAAATCAAA